CACAGTGCTCTCTGGGTGTAGGCAAACTACAACTCTCAAGGTCAATGCCCACCAAACCCTTCCAGTATTTTCTGTTGGTCGTGGGACTTCTGTGTGCTAAGATGGGTTCAATTCCATCATTGATGGAGTTCAGAGTTTTGGAGCTGTAGTTCACCTACATCCAGAGAGCACTGTGGATTCAAACAATAATGGATCTGAGCCAAACTTGGCATGAATATTCAACATGCCCAAATGTGAATACTGGTGGAGTTTGGGGAAAATAGACCTTGACATTTGGGAGTTGTAGTTTCTGGGATTTATAGTTCACCTACAATCAGAGCGTTCTGAACCCCACCAACAATAGAACTGGGCCAAACTTTCTACACAGAACCCCCATGACCAACAGAAAATACTGTGTTTTCTGATGGTCTTCAGTGACCCCTCTGACACTCCCTCGCGACCCCCTCAGGGGTCCCGACCCCTAGGTTGAGAAACACTGCCTTAAGACAGTTCCTCATGTTCTGGTGACCCCCAACCATATAATTATTTTCGTTGCTACTTCATAACTGTAATTTTGCTATTGTTATGATTTTGCCATTTGGGAGTTGTAATTGCTGGGATTTATAGTTCACCTACAATCAAAGAGCATGCTGAACTCCACCAATGATGGAATTGAACCAAACTTTGCACACAGAACTCCCATGACCAACAGGAGCGTGGACCACTGGCCACAGTGGTCCACACTCCTATTACATCCCGAATAGATTACTGCAATGCACTCTATGTAGGGTTGCCTTTGAAGACTGTTCGGAAACTTTAGTTAGTCCAACGGGCGGCAGCCAGACTACTTACTGGAGCGTCATACAGGGAGCATACCACCCCTCTGTTACGTCAGCTCCACTGGCTGTCGATCCAGTTCCGAGCACAATTCAAAGTGCTTGTTTTGACCTACAAAACCCTATATGGCTCCGGCCCAGCGTTGGGGGTTGAGAAGAGTGGCATAGAAGTGCTCGAAATAAATAAACAAACAAACAAACAAACAAACAAATAAATAAGGAAATCCTAGAAGGGGTTGGTGAGCTCTGACCTTGAGTTTTGGAGATGTAGTTCACCTACATCCAGAGATCACTATGGATGCAAACAATGATGGACCTGGACAAACTTGGCATGGATATTCAACATGCCCAAATGTGAATACTGGTGGAGTTTGGGTAAAATACACTTTGATATTTGCTAGATGTAGTTGCTAGGATTTATAGTTCACCTACAATCAAAAGAGCACTCTGAATTCCATCAATGATGGAATTGAACCCATCTTAGCACACAGAAATCCCACGACCAAGAGAAAATACTGGAAGGGTTTGGTGGGCATTGACCTTGAGTTTTGGAGTTGTAGTTCACCTACATCCAGAGAGCACTGTGAATTCAAACAATGATGGACCTGGGCCAAACTTGGCATGAATATTCAACATGCCCAAATGTGAATACTGGTGGAGTTTGGGGAAAATAGACCTTGACATTTGGGAGTTGTAGTTGTTGGGATTTATAGTTCACCTACAATGAAAGAGCATTCTGAACTCCGCCAATGATGGAATTGAACCAAACTTGACACACAGAACTCCCATGACCAACAGGAAATCATGGAAGGGGTTGGTGAGCTCTGACCTGGAGTTTTGGAGTTGTAGTTCACCTACATCCAGAGAGCACTGTGGACTCAAACATTGATGAATCTGGACCAAATTTGGCACGAATCCTCAAGATGCCCAAATGTGAATACTGGTGGAGTTTTGGCGAAAATACAGAGAACATACCACCCCTCTGTTATGTCAGCTCCACTGGCTGTCGATCCAGTTCCAAGCACAATTCAAAGTGCTGGTTTTGACCTACAAAACCCTATATGGCTCCGGCCCAGCGTTGGGGGTTGAGAAAAGTGGCATAGAAGTGCTCGAAATAAATAAATAAACAAACAAACAAATAAATAAATAAGGAAATCCTAGAAGGGGTTGGTGAGCTCTGACCTTGAGTTTTGGAGTTGTAGTTCACCTACATCCAGAGATCACTGTGGATGCAAACAATGATGGACCTGGACAAACTTGGCATGAATATTCAACATGCCCAAATGTGAATACTGGTGGAGTTTTGGCGAAAATAGACATTGACATTTGGTAGTTGTAGTTGCTGGGATTTATAGTTCACCTACAATCAAAGAGCATGCTGGACCCCACCAACGATGGAATTGAACCAAACTTGGCACACAGAACCCCCATGACCACAGAAAATACTAGAAGGGGTTGGTAAGCTTAGACCCTGAATTTGGGAACTGTAGTTCACCTACATCCAGAGAGCAGTGCAAACAATGATGGATCTGGACCAAACTTGGCATGAATATTCAACATGCCCACATGTGAATACTGGTAGAATTTGGGGAAAATAGACTTTGATATTTGGTAGTTGCTGGGATTTATAGTTCACCTACAATCAAAAAACCACTTTGAATTCCATCAACGATGCAATTGAACCAAACTTGGCACACAGAACTCCCATGACCAACGGGAAATCCTAGAAGGGGTTGGTGAACTCTGACCTTGAGTTTTGGAGTTGTAGTTCACCTACATCCAGAGAGCACTGTGGACACAAACAATGATGGATCTGGACCAAACTTGGCACGAATATTCAACATGCCCACATGTGAATTCTGGTGGAGTTTGGGGAAAATAGACTTTGACATTTGGTAGTTGTAGTTCCTGGGATTTATAGTTCACCTACAATCAAAGAGCATGCTGAACTCCATCAATGATGGAATTGAACCAATCTTAGAACACAGAACTCCCATGACCAAGAGAAAATACTGGAAGGGTTGTAGTTGCTGGGATTTATAGCTCACAGGATTCCCATGACCAACAGAAAATCCTGGAAGGGGTTGGTGAGCTTTGACCTTGAGTTTTGGAGTTGTAATTCACCTACATCCAGAGAGCATTGTGAAAGCAAACAATGATGGATTTGGACCAAACTTGGCATTAATATTCAACATGTCCAAATGTGAACACTGGTGGAGTTTGGGAAAAACAGACCTTGACATTTGGGAGTTGTAGTTGTTGGGATTTATAGTTCACCTACAATCAGGAGAATTCTGAACTCTACCAATGATAGAATTGGGCCAAACCTCCCACACAGAACCCTCATGATCAACATAAAATGCTGTGTTTTCTGATGGTCTTTGGCAACCCCTCTGACACCCGTTTTGTGGGGTCAGAACTCCCCCCCCCGGGTTCTGACCCCAAGGTTGAGAAATGCTGTTGTAGTAGATTGTGTGTTGAATTAAGTTTCCATCACCCAACCTTTTCACACCAGAAGCGATTTGCAGTTTCTTAAGTCGCTTCTGACACAACAAAAAACAAACAAACAAACAAAAAAAACCCAACCTTTTGGGTGACCTTAGACAAGTTACATTCTCTCAGCCTAAAAGGAAAACAAAGGCTAATTTCCTTTCAATAAAACTTGCCAAAATTTCTTTTGTGGTACAGTCACCACACAAAGGTACAAACCAACAACATTGGGCAAGTGACGAACCACTCTGCACAATGTATGGAGGAAACATCCTCACATCTTTTGATACAGCCCAGATGGATTTGAGTAAACCCTTCAAAGACTTAAGTGGGAAAACACAGAATTTATAGTTTGTGAGGAATAGCAACTTTTGCTACGCAAGGCACACTGGGATTTTGCGCACCGGGATTGTGGTGCAGCTGGCTGAGTGGGGTACAAATAAAGGTTTATTATTATTATTATCATTGTGTTTTAAACCCTTTAAAAAAACAAACACTATTGTAACACAAAAGGGTGTTACTAAGTATATTCTCCACTTACAACTCAGCCTGAGGACCAAACAAAAAGGTGGCAGCGAAAATAATTGAAGAAACAGTTTCAAAACCTCCCAGTTCAGGCTTAGTTCAAATATATATCAAGTTGTCTCTTTCCTGTTTTAAAAATCCCCCTGCACCTATTAATAATTGGGCTGGCAGCTTGAGGGAATTACTATTTTAAAATTCCTGGATCGTTTCACTGCTAAGTTCCTTATAATTAACAGCAATCGCCTGGTATAGTTTCCCCAGGATAGCACCGGGATTGTGGCACAGCTGGCTGAGTGTCAGCTGCATTAAGATCACTCTGACCAAAAGGTCATGAGTTCGAAGCCAGCCCGGGTTGGAGTGGGTTTCCTACCAATTGTGTAGCCTGTTGGAGACCTTTGCAACCCGAAAGACAGTTGCATCTGTCAAGTAGGAAAATTAGGTACCGCCTTAAAGTGTGGGGAGGCTAAATTAACTGATTTATGAGGCCATAAAGAAGACTCCAGCAAAGCATTCCAGCAGGGAAGCATGTGGGGAATGCGGAAGTGCTTCATCAGCATCGCAGATGGACGATGAAAGCGACAGCTCCCCTGGCAGCCAGAAAAAGTTAAATAGCCTCTGTGTATGTCTATATATGTTTGTATGTCAAAAATTGGCATTGACACTGTAATCCGCCCTAGAGTCCCCTCCGGGGTGAGAAGGGCAGAATATTAAAGCTGTAAATAAATAAATAAATAAATCTATACACATAATAAAACTATGTATGTGGCAGAGTTGTCCACTCACACAGACAGCCTTTGGCACCCACAAACAGGCTATAGTTCCAAGTGATTAGAAGCCTCCAAAGGTACTCCCTCAACTGACATTGCAAGTTAGAGCAAGCACCATGAACATGTAGCCCAAACACTGCCAATGTCCTCCCCAAACACTACAGCTCACCACCCAAGGAATGCTTTCATTTGGGGATATTAGCATCCTAGATTTGATGTGTTTCCTCCACCACAATTCCACAATTGTGTGGAATTTGCATGACTCCACCCACTGCCTCTCCCTTAACCCTTTCCTACCCTTTCCTACTGCACACAGCAAACACAGAGGAATTGATCAGCAACTGAACAGACTGAAGAGGTTTGAGGGACTGACACAACAGGATGGAAGTTGTAGTTCACCTTGCATCAAGGCAGAGTACTATGACTCCCTTCAATAATGGACCTGGACCACATGACCAGGTCTGGAGGAACTGACTTTGTAGTTCACCCTTATCCAGAGAGCACTGAACTCAGCTGATATCGGATCTGGACCAAACTTGGCACACAGAACCAACACGGCCAACTTCGAATACCCTTTCCTATGGCACACAGCAAACACAGAGGAACTGATCAGCAACTGAATAGACTGGAGGGGTTTGGGGGACTGACTCAACAGGATGGAAGTTGTAGTTCACCCTACATCAAGACACAGCACTTGATGTGGTCCAGCAGGTCCAAGACACTTTGATAATGCACCTGGACCACATTTGGCATGTAAAACCCCCATGACCAGGTTTGGGGGAATTGACCTTGATTTATAGGAGTTGTAGTTCCCCTACATCCAGAGAGCACTGTGAACACAACCAACAATGGATCTGGACCAAACTTGTCATGGACAATGGGACTTGTAGTACCTTCATTCACTTCCAAAAACCACTGCAACAGTTACACATTACCAAATTGATATTACTAAACTTCTCAAAACAGAAAATGCCTTTCTCAAATAACCTGGGCACCGCCGGGTTCCCAAGCTAGTAAATAAATAAAACACAGAATTCAACTTTTGCTACACAAGGCTAATCCCATTTGTGTTTTGAGACAATCAGAAACCAATTGTATAGGGAAGCATTAAAGAAAGCAACCAAAAGACAGAAGGGGAAGTGGACAGATCAAGAAGTCAAGATTTTGCATTCCAGCTAGCTATAGGAAATAGTTTTTTTTTATTATTTCAAGTTTTCATAAAAATCCATAATTACTGAAATCGAAAGTTACAGAGGAAGTTCGTAACTTTTTTTTATTGATTGTTGTTTGTTTGTTTGAAATTTCCTCTTGCCGTTAGGATTGACACCGGACTCGTGCCAGAAGATGTCCTACAAACATGGGAAGTTCTGGAGACATCAGCAGAACGTTTTCACAAAGAGGACGAGAAGAGAGTGATGCGGGATTGTGGGAAACCGAACCAGAGTCAGGGCACTGGGTGGAGGAGAGGAGAGAGGTGGGTATGCTTGTTGCACTGTGTCTCTTTATTGTTGTCAATGTTCATGTTGTTGTTGTTGCTTTTTTAAAAAAACCCACTCCTCTCTATGGAGTCAATTGCTTTTCTCTTCAGATCATTTTCATGTTGAACTTACGGGGCGCATCAGCTGCAGAGCTGATGCCTGCATCAGACTTGCGCGGGACATATTCGATTTCAATGTTGTGCTTGGTGTTGCCTTTGCCCCTACTCCAGAGAAAGAGGAGCACCAAGCAGAAGAGTACTACCCCTAGGAAAGAGATGAAACCCATTGTGGTGGCAATGATGAGGGTCTTGATGTCAAAGGGGAAAGGCACGGTGGCACGCGTGCTGTTGGTGTCACTCTCATTGGGTTGGTTAGAGATGAAAGCAAAGGTCTTATTGGGTTGGTGGGGCCAGTCTGGGGAGTAGCTCCGGACGTGCAAGTGAGCCAGCATGGTGTCGTTGCCTCCGGCATTGCTGGCGATGCATAGGTAGGTGCCGTTGTCCTGGATCTGGGCATAGCGTACCTCCAAAGTGCCATCGGGGAAGACGGTGAGCCGCCCGTTGGTTTTGGTAGATATGAGGTGCTTCCTGGGAGAGAGCCACATGATGTTGGGAGGTGGGTCTCCATCCGCACGGCAGATGAACTGCACCGTGTGGCCCTCATCCACAAAGATCTGTTGGGGTTTGCGGTCCCGTATCCGAGACCGGCGGCAGATGAAGTAATTAGGCAGGAGTGCCTCAGAGAAGTCCTTGAACTCTTTCCCCTGGACAAATTCAGGGGTGGAACAGGTTGGCTGCCGCTTGTTGAAATTTAGTCTCCAACGCCGTCGGAAAATCCAGAGGAGTCGACAGTCGCAGGCCAATGGGTTGTTGTCTATGATAAGTGTTTCCAGGTTCCCCACTGAGTGGAAGGCCGACTCTTCCAAGGTGCTCAGGAGGTTCCCAGAAACATTCAAGATACGCAAATAGTTCAGACCACGAAAAGCGTATGGTTCCACCACAGTGAGCTGACCACCCACCAGCTGTATCTCCTGAAGCCTGAGTAGGTCATGAAGCATGGACCCTTCGATGGTGAGAATGGGGTTATAGGACAAATTCAGGAATCTGAGATAAACCAAGTGCCTCAAGGAGATGTAAGGGATGGAAGTCAGGTTGCAACTGGTGATGGACAAGGATGTCAAGTTGAGACCGTACAAGCAGTTGGATGTCATGGTATCTAGGTAGGGCCAGTGTGAGATCTCCAGCTCTTTGAGTCTGTACAGCCTCCTAAAAGAGTAATCCCTGATGACATTGATGTTCAGGTGACGCAACCGTAGCACAATCAAGCCGTGCAAGTGAGACAGTGCTTCTGTGGGGATGGTGGTCAAATTGCATTTTTCCAAGGTTAGCTGCTCTAAGCTGTTGAGGCCACTGAAGGCCCGGTGGGAGATATAGACCAAGTCATTGTCCCCAACCTCTAAGGACTTGAGGTTGTACAAGTCCTGGAACATATAGTCCAGAAGAATCACAATTTTATTCTCGCTAATGTCCAACTTGGTAAGGTTGCTGAGTCCAGTGAACACCCCCAGGGGGATGAGCTTGAGCCGGTTGCTCCTGAGACCCAGAGTCCTGAGGTTGAAGAGGTTATTGAAAGCCCCCGGCTCGATGGCACTGATAATGTTCTCATTTAACTCCAGCTCCTCCAAGTGAGGAAAATTGGCAAACTCATCCTGGTTGAGAGTCTTGATGCGGTTCTTGCCCAAGTCCAAGAGCTTGGTCTCCGTGGGGATGCCCTCAGGGACCGTCATCAACCGCTTCCGGTGACACAAGACGGAGCGTTCCTGGGCAGAGCAATCACAGCGGGGAGGGCAGCCCGTGGCGGAGCCTGAGAGGATGGAACCCAGCATCAAGAGGAGGATCGGCTGCCAGCAGGCCAGGATTGGGCTATACATGCTCAAGTCGCCCGCCACCATCCTATCTTTCACCTGCAGGATAAGAGGAAGAGAAAAGAGAAAAGAGAAGATCCGTTAGACATGAAAGGTACCCAATTCATGTACAAACGACAACACTAAAAGGTGAGAAAAGCAACAACTGTGTCACTAATAGGGTTAGAACGTGATCCTCTAGATCAGTGTCTCTCAACCTTCCTAATGCTGTGACACCTTCACCTTCATGTTGTGGTGACCCCCAACCATGACATTATTTTCATTGCTACTTCACAATTGCCATTTTGTTACTGGTATGAATCAATGCAAATCTGATATGCAGGATGTATTTTCATTCACTGGACCAAATTTGGCACAGATACCTAATTTGCCCAAATTTGAACATGGGTGGGGTTGAGGGGGATTGATTTTATCATTTGGGAGTTGTAGTTCCTGGGATTTATAGTTCACCTACAATCAAAGAGCATTCTGAACTCCACCAATGATGGAATTGAACCAAACTTGGCATACAGAACTCCCATGATCAACAAAAAATACTGGAAATTGACCTTGAGTTTGGGAGTTGTAGTTCACCTACATCCAGAGAACACTGTGGACTCGAGCAATGATGGATCTGGATCAAACTTGGCACAAATATTCAATATGCCCAAATGTGAACACTGGTAAAGTTTGGAGAAAATAGACCTTGCCATTTGGGAGTTGTAGTTGTTGGGATTTATAGTTCACCCACAATGAAATAGCATTCTGAACCCCACCAATAGAATTGGACCAAACTTTCCACACAGAACCCCCATGGCCAACAGAAAATACTGTTTTCTGATGGTCTTTGGTGACCCCTCTGACACCCCCTCGCGACCCCCACAGGGGTCCCGACCCCCAGGTTGAGAAACACTGCTCTAGATCAGTGTCTCTCAACCTTCCTAATGCTGTGATACCTTCATACAGTTCCTCAAGTTGTGGTGACCCCCAACCATCACATTATTTTCAGTGCTACTTCATAATTGTCATTTTGCTACTATAATGAATCATAATGTAGATATCGGATAGGGCAAGATGTATTGTCATTCACTGGACCAAATTTGACACAAATACCTAATTTGCCCAAATTTGAACACTGGTGGGATTAGGGGGGAATGATTTGGTTATTTGGGAGTTGTAGGGTCATTTGGGAGTTGTAAGAACGAATGAACAAAATCACACCAAATTTGGCAACAAAATGTCTCATAACACAAGGAGTGACCATCACACAAAAAATTATGACTTTGTCATTTGGGAGTTGTAGTTGCTGGGATTTATAGTTCACCTACAATCAAAGAGCACTCTGAACTCCACCAACTTCACTAACACAGAACTCCCATGACCAACAGAAAACACTGGAAGGGTTCGGTGGGCATTGACCTTGAGTTTGGGAGCTATAGTTCACCTATACCCAGAGAGCACTGTGGACTCAAACAATGATTGATCTGGACCCAATTTGGCACAAATCCTCAATATTCCCAAGTGTGAACATTTGTGGAGTTTGGGGAAAATAGACGTTGAAATTTGGGAGTTGTAGTTGCTGGGATTTATAGTTCATCTACAATCAAAGAGCACTCTGAATTCCACCAATACAGAACTCCCATGACCAACAGAAAATACTGGAATGGTTTGGTGGGCATTGACCTTGACTTTTGGAGTTGTGGTTCACTTACATCCAGAGAGCACTGTGGACTCAAACAATGATGGATCTGGACCAAATTTGGCACAAATCCTCAATATTCCCAAATGAAAACATTGGTGGAGTTTGGGGAAAATAGAGCTTGATATTTGGGAGTTGTAGTTGCTGGGATTTATAGTTCACCTACAATCAAAGAGCACTCCAAACTCTACCAACCCAGAACTCCCATGACCAACAGAAAATACTGGAATGGTTTGGTGGGCATTGACCTTGACTTTTGGAGTTGTGGTTCACCTACATCCAGGTGCTGGGTGGGACTGGCCGCTGGTTGGCCAGCTAACCCAGTAGCGGGAAACTTCCCACCACGCAGGGGCTTCTGGATAGGTGAAGCCCCTGCTACCAACATGACCAGAGGGAGGGACACCCCCCACCGCAACAGGCCTTGCCCAGTAAGTTGGGCAATGAATTTGTTGACCTTTGCAGCCCGAAAGACAGTTGCATCTGTCAAGTAGGAAATTTAGGTACCGCCTATGCGAGGAGGCTAATTTAACTAATTTACGATGCCATAAAAATCTCCAGCAAGCCTGCAAAGAATGAGGAAGTACTTCATCAGTGTCACAAACGTACGGTGAAGTGACAGCTCCCCTGGTGGCCAGAAGCTGGAATGTTAAATAGCCTCTGAGTGTCTGTCTATATATGTTGTGTGTCTATGGCATTGAATGTTTGCCATGTATATGTACATTGTAATCCACCCTGAGTCCCCTGTGGGGTGAGAAAGGCCAAATATAAATACTGTAAATAAATAAATAGCCATGGTTAAGTCCAGTTTGTAAATGGAATTCTTAAGTATTCGTAAATGGAATTCTTAAGTTGAGGGTGAACCCAGTGAAGACGGAGATCCTTTGGCTGGGCCGTCTGGGTGGGAGGGAGATCCAGCCACCTACCCTGGATGGCGAGACACTACGTCCGTCACCTTCTGTAAAAAGCCTTGTTGTCTTATTGGACCCTCTGCTCACAATGGAGGCCCAGGTCTCTGCTGTGAGCAGATCTGCGTTTTTCCATCTGCATCAGGCTAGGCGACTGGCTCCCTACGTATCTAGGAACGACCTGGCTATGGTGATCCAGGCAATGGTCATCTCGAGGCTTGACTACTGCAATGCCCCCTACGTTGGCCTTCCTTTGTCAGTGATCCGGAAACTGAAGTTGGTGCAAAATGCGGCGGCTCATCTTCTCACCGGAGTGCCAGCGAGGTGTTGTATTACCCGAATCCTCCAACAGCTGCACTGGCTTCCGATTGAGTACTGAATCACTTTCAAGGTGCTGGTACTAACCTTTAAGGCCTTACATGGTCTGGGACCGGCGTACCTGAGGGCCCGCTTATCCCCCTACCAACCCCAGAGATTACTCCCGTCTGAAGACTAAGGTTTGCTTGAAGTCCCTGACATCCGGACTTACCATTTGTCATCTACTAGGCAGATAGATTTCTCGATTGTGGCCCCTTATTTATGGAATGCCTTGCCGGTTGAAACTCGGAACCATCCAAGACCTACTTGCTTTTCGGAAAGCCTGTAAAACTTTTCTTTTCCAGCAAGCTTTTGACGGGTGAACAATCCGGGCTATGCCTGTTCTTGCCACCTATTGTTATTGTTATTTTTGAAGCTAATTGTATTGTTTTAATCTGCTTCTGTAAACCGCTCCGAGCCAAATAAAATAAAATAAAATAAAATAAATAAATAAATAAAGTAGTTTCCTAAGTAATAGGTGTATGTGTGTGTGCAGGACGTAAACCACAACAGTGGATCAAAACACAGCATTTCGGAATCCCGATGCAATGGATCTTTGAACTGTCATTTTAGACGTATAATGCCAGTCACGTCGAGCATAAGTCCCTCTGGGTCAGCGCTTGCATTATCCAAAATGCTAACTTCGTGGAATCTGGATGTTCTCCTCCCTCCTCCCTCTTTTTTTTATTATGGGAGAAAAAAAAGACCCATGTCCTATTTTAAGCTCTTAAAACTGTTCATTTCCCCAGAGACGGAGCTTGAATCTGTAAAATACCGCTTGAATACAGAACTCCTGTCAAACTGGAACAGAATGTAAAAAACCTACGCAAGCCATCTCAGCCTTTAGGGAACGGTCCTCATGAATGCAGATGCCTCTTAAAGAGATATCCGGAACTCAACTGACCCTAGGGGACTCTCTCCCCAAATTGGCGATCCTCCCAATGCACTGTTGAAACACTGTTCAACTTATGCAGGGGTAGATATTGGCTCTCATCTCCAAGAGGGTGAGGGGTGCAAGTTCCCCATAAAAGTGGAAAACAATGAATTTTTAAAAATCTGTTTGTTTTGAAATACGAGAGAGCACCTTCCTAGAAATCTCTAGTAAGGATGTGCGAAGCATTAAAGAAAGGGTTCAAAAGTCATTACAAAACTGGTGTGTTTGTGTAGTGCTTCATTTCTAAAGTGTTTCTAAAGCAGTGTTTCTCAACCTTCCTAATGCTGAGACCCCTTAATACAGTTCCTCGTGTTGTGGTGACCCCCAACCATAAAATTATTTTCATTGCTCATCCATAACTGTCATTTTGCTACTGTAATGCATCATAGTGTAGATATCTGATATGCAGGATGTATTTTCATTCACTGGACCAAATTTGGCACAAAATACCCAATACGTCCAATTCTGAATATTGGTGGGGTTGGGGGAGGGGCTTGATTTTGTCATTTGGGAGTTATAGTTGATGAATCTGGACTAAACTTGGCATGAATACGCAATATACCCAAATGTGAAAACTGGTGGAGTTTGGGAAAAAATAGACCTTGACATTTGGGAGTTGTAATTGCTGGGATTTATAGTTCACCTACAACCAAAGAGCATTCTGAACTTCATCAACAATGGAATTGAACCAAACTTGGCACACAGAACTCCCATGACCAACAGAAAGTACTGGAAAGGTTTGATGGGCATTGGCCTTGAGTTTTGGAGTTGTAGTTCACCTACATCCAGAGAGCACTGTGGACTCAAACATTGATGGATCTGGGCCAAACTTGGCACAAATACTCAATATGCCCAAATATGAACACTGGTGGAGTTTGGGGAAAATAGATATTTGGGAGTTGTAGTTGCTGGGATTTATAATTCACCTACAATAAACGAACATGCTGAACTCCACCAATGATGGAATTGGGCCAAACTTTCCACACAGAACTCCCATGTCCAACAGAAAATACTTGTGTTTTCTGATGGTCTTTGGTGACCCTTCTGACACCCCCTCGTGACCTCAGGGGTCCCGACCCCCAGGTTGAGAAACACTGTTCTAAAGTATAGTTTGTGAAAATTTCATTACTATAATGAGAGTAACGCAATTTTGTTACTGTCAAAG